TCTGTTGCCTCAGGAACAAGAAGGAGCAGTCACAGGTGAGGTGAATAGTGGAGGGGAGGTTAGGATAGTGACTAGCCAGTAGTCACTAAGGCAATTGCACTGCTGACTATTTTCCTCCAAGTGCTTGAGGGACATATAATAGTAAGAGGAAGGAATAGGTCTTCTGGCCATGAGTTCTCACAAGGAGATGTGTAGGAGTCCTGGTGGATGAACCACAGTTTGGAAGTGCTAATGGTGCAGCCTCCTCCTACACTGAAGAGTAGCAGTACTTTGCTTAGTCAAAACAATCTTTTTTCTCTTGAGGAAAACAAAGAGAAGATGCTTGAATGACTGACCACCACACGTGGGCAGGGAGTGGTCTTCAGAACTGGAACGCCTTCAGAATTGTCCTCCATCTACAGGCATTGGCTCTGACGTTTTACTGCTGCCAGATACAAGGGCTTTGAGAAGGGTCAGGGACCTGGCAGACATGAGTAGTATTTTCCTGTATCCCCGAGTGAAAACATAGTGGACAGCCGATGCCTCTCTTGACTCAAATCTATGCTGCTGACTTGCTCTTTCCTTGCATTGCTCATCATGGTAAGGCAAGACATGGACCTCTTCAGCACCTTGCTTGGGAAACCACAACAGGGAACACACATTTACTTGAAAAACAGTCCATGACTTCTGACATTTGAAATTGGAAACCAAGTGTTAGCAGGGTATATGGGTTTTGCTAGCATTATGGGGTTTTTGTGGCAACAAATTAACAGCAGGCACTGATATCGGCCAAGTGAATGTATATCAAAGAGGACTGACTGATGGTTATGGAGCCTGACTATTGACACAGACTCTTAATGATCCCTGTGTTCTCTGATGACCCTTGGATTAGTGCATGTGTTTGAGCCATTGCGGGCACAGGGGAAGAGGGTCTGAACTTGGCAGTGAGTATTTACCAAGAGACTGGATGGCAAGAATGGAAGAACTGTGGAAGCTGGAGGCCAGCACTGATGTTTCAGTAGGCAAGAATAGCATTGGCAGCTGACACAGAGCAAAACACCTCTGAAGAGCATAACCAGAAGAGCATTACCAGAAAGACCTGTCAAAACTGACAGAAAATCAGGGGACTAGCAGAAGTCACAAGAATGAGCAGGACCACACACACATGATTTCTGACGATGGCTGAACACAGTTGTCCACATTGACCACCCCCAAACGGTGTTGGAGGACCACAAAGCCCAAGAACTGAGGGGTCTCCACAGTGATAGGACCTGGAATTTTCTCCACTGGGAGAAACAGCTGCCAAACTCTGCAAGCTTTGTTGGTGAAAGCTTATCTGACTGCTTTGTAACAAAATACAGAGAATGCCTCTTCAGGAACCCAGCAGACAAGACTAGAGAAAAGATGTGGGGAAGAAGAGATGCCTTCTGTAGCATAGCTCTGCCCCATCTCTTCTGTCTGCTTAGAATCCCCCAATATGCAACATATTCCGCATGTCTCAGGAGTGTACTGTCTCCATTTGCACCTTTTAGTGTCCTGCATAGTAGCACAAAGGGGATGGCACAAGGAGATTGTGGGAGATGAGAGAACTGTGCTGTGGAAGGAAGAGACCCTCATCAGTATTTCTGCCATCAGTACTTTGGGGAGGAAAGAAAAAGAGAATCCAAAACCCCAAACCCCACACTAAATTTGCACTTGTTCTCTCAGGCTGGTAGCCTAGAAGCTCATAAACTCAGAAGTACCTTGTTCTGGAGTAAACTGTTCTGAAAACAGTTTCCAGTGGCTTCCCCGAGTTTGCTTTGCTGGTGGCAGCCCTTCGGCTCCATGCTGGCACATGTATGAAGCTCTTTGAACAAGTTTTGACCTTCCTTTAGCCCCTCTGCCCATCAAGCCAGCTAATGACATGCTTCGTATTGCACAGAACACATACAATTGACAAGTTCATAGTGTTGTTTAAATATTAAACAGTCTAGACAGGCTTTTGAGTCTTACGCCGCTATGAAAAGGCATAAGATATACCCATCTCTGAAATCGGGCTGCGGGATCATTTGCACAGTAAGACAGACAATAAGACTTGTATACATTGCCATGCAACAGAAGAGACCCCGAACCGCCAGCCCTAAGTGGAAAGTTTATTTCTAAGCACGATATATGGAAAAACCAAACCAACAAACCCCACAGATATAGAAAACGTTGTAGTAAATCCCTGGTCAAGTAGGACTTCATGTCTGTCACTACCCTGCACCTCACAGCCGCTTAAAATGTCATGCAATGGAGGAGAGGGCACTCGGACGACACCCTCCGCTTCGGATCAAGGAGGATCTCCAAGCAGGAGAGGGCCGATGGGACTCCCGCTGAGTGATTCGGACTGTAACCAGCGAAAGGGCAGCGCTGCTCACCCCCACCACGTGCTTCGTGACTACCAGTGGTAGACTTAGCACTTCAACAGGCTTTACCAACGTGGATTCTCACAACACCCCTGTGAGGTAGGTACGTATTGTTATTCCCCCTTTGCGTGGAGGGGGGACTGAGCCAAACAGCCCAAGGCTACAGAGTCGGTGGCAGAGCTGGCGTGAGAGTATGCAGAGTCCTGTGTGCTCAGATTACTAGATCACACCACTCTCTCATGGCAAGTTGTGCTTCTGACCTCATAAACTTCTAGCTGTTAGTCAAATTAAAGGAATTTGATTTCTCCGTATTAAATGAGCGGAGGGCAGGGAGGGAAACAACATCATGTCTGACAGCTGTCCCTTAGTCTGTGTATGCTTCCCCCTTCCCAAAACCACCATAATTACTCATCTCTCGGAATGAGGACAGCTTCCAGGACAGGCATGGGGGCGAGAGGCTGCTGTGTTTGCTTGCTTTGGCCAGGTTTCTCTCTACTGTGGATCAGAAGTGGTTCTTCCAGAGACCATTTGTTGCAACACCTTCATTCTAGGGTAGCTGCTTTCGGAGACGATTGGAATTGCCCCTTCCCTCTCCTTCCACCCACTAATGTCCCTTCCCTCCCCTGTGCCAAAAGCACTCTTTGGTAGATAGTAAGATTGGTCACATAAAGGTACAGTGGCCTCAGAAACCATGCTGTTTCACATGGGTCCCCAGTAAGTCAGCTTTCTTGGCCAGTGTTTCACCTCTCACATTCTCTGCCAGAGAAGTACCTGTCCTTTTGCATTCTGATATTCAAAGGGACACTGTCAAGTAATCAAGGTGAAAAATACGACCTGCCTTAAGATGCTAAACTCCATCTTCAATGTTGCAGAATGGCTGGTGTGTTCAAACCTGGAGGCTGAAGTTTGACACCTTCCCCAGTCCAGAAGCCCCTGACCCATGACCGCCTAGCTGCCAAAGGAGCTGGTGGCTCGTGTTTGCCCTGGCTCCAATAGAAGCTGCGAGAGGTGCTGGTACGATGACAGAGGGCAGCTGGACACAGCCATTGTGCAATGTTGCTCAGCGCTGCTGTTAAATGGATGCAGTTTGGCTGAAGTCCTTATCTTAATTTTTGGGGGAGCTGGGTTCAGGCTTGATCACTACGGGCTCATTGTTTTGGGATTGCTGAGCTGTTGCTCCTCAATTAGCTAATCTCCTTATTTTTAGGGTTCCTGCTCTCATTTCCTTTGTGGCAGTTGCACTGGCAAAACAGCTCAACCCCGTAGAGCTGGGACATACCCTCCACAGAGCAAGGACAGTCAGAAGGAAATCAGTAACGTGGAGTTCGTCCTGTCGCAGAAGAAAGGTGGGGAGGAGAAGGACAGGGATGGTGAAAGGGAGGGGGTGAGTGGAGAGAACGGTACATGCCCAAATGGAAAAGGACAAAATCGGTAGTTTGAAATTTTATTTTCAAGCTTGTAAGAGAATATTACAAACAATGGAGAGTAAAAAAAGCCCAAACCCTAAAAACTATTTAAAAAGTACTTGACAGTGTCCCTTTAATATCCACAAATGATTCAGCCATTGTGCATTGAAAGAGAATGTTCCTGAAGAGCAACTGATACCTTCGAGGATATATCCCAGAGAAGGAGAGTTATTAGAAGTATTACATATTTGATCAGCAACTGTGCTCCCTCTTCAGACTAACTCTCTCTTGAATGATTGAATGGAATAGACTCTGTAATAAACTAACAGACTGGATGGTGAAAGGCTCAGCCTACAAGACTGAGTGAGACTGTTGCAAATTGAGCAGTAGGGATACAGACACCAGAAAAAAAGATGTACAACTCTAATGCATGAGTGTCTGAATCAGCAAGGTAGCAGAAACCCAGCGAGATGGGTCGGCTTCTTGTGATTGGAGTAAAATGGAAGGAAATCAACCTGGAATGTCTGCATGGGAAATGATGTGTGTGAGTGGCAAGATTTGGATGCTGGATTTGGGGTTATGAAGGCATAAATCACACCAGTACTTGTGCTTGAAACACCTGCGGAGCATTTGTACAAAATTTGCCAAAAATGCCTATACGTCGAATAAAGGTCATGGAGCGCCCTCCCCCCCCTCCCAATTCCACCCTTACAAACCCTTTGACAGGAACATTATGAAAAAAACAGTTTTTTTGTTTTGGTGAAATTTGGGTATGCCTGGGTTTTGTTAGATTGAATCATCCCACCAAGAAAATCTCTCTTTCTGTAAATCAATACTGAAAAATCCCCAGCCATTTCACTTCAGGTATCCTATGGTAAATCGAACAAGGCTCCGGAGTGACTCATGATACAAAACGACTCATAGCCCTGGTTAATCACAGTCTGAAAAATAAAAATACTCCAAATATTTAGTTCCCTTCCTTGTTTTTATAAATCTCACACTGTGTGTGTGTTTGTGTGCGCGCGTGTGTGTGTACGGGGGGCGTGTACAGAGCATTACCTATTCCAGGTAATAGGATTTGTAAGACATGCTAAACCGTCTGTTCCTCTGCTTCCCCAGAACTCTGCCTACTCAGTTTGTAGTCTGTATTGCACTTGTTTTGTTGGTTTTTTGTGATTTGTTTTGTTGGGGTTTTTTTTCTTTTTTTTTTTTTTTTTTTTTTTTAGATTGGCTGGAAAACATTAACCTCTTTAGCATGAGTGTGCAGCTCTCCCTCCACCTGCTTTTTTCCTCAGCTGGCCAGGTGCCACCTCTTATAACTTGTGCAGTTACCGAAAAAGAAAAGAAGAGGAGGGAAAAAAAAAGAAAAAAAGAAAAAAAGGAAAGAGAAAGAAAAAGGCACACCATGCTCCTCTGCTTTATGAGTTCTTTGTCTCCTCCGCTTCGTGTTAAGGCCTCCTGAATTCCTCGTCTCAGACCGTCGTGACCCTCATGACGAGCTCTCTGTTACTACTAGACTGACTCCTCTGTTCGTGAGGCCTCAGGTGGCTGAGTATATGCAAGATGGTATAAGCACAGTGGTGGTCAGAGAGGGTGCCTGTGGCATGGCCGGCAGCCCGTGCCCCGCTGTCGGCTGGAGCGGAGTTAGTGGCTGTACCACCAGTGGAGGACGAGTGGGTGGTTTGGGAGGAGGGGCGCTGATTTGTCCTGGTCCCTGTTTTTTGTTCCTCCATGTCCTTTGTTTTGTCATAGTTCAGCACTTTCCACTGCTGATTGACCGCCTGCCACCGTTTAAAAATCCGGTAAACCGAGGGCCCTTCGTGTATTATTAGACCTGGAGGGAAGGGGGAAAGAAATAAACATAAAACAGAAACAAAACTTTAGAAAGAACCATAAACCTACCCCAGCATCCAGCCCCCAGCTAGCTGGTTAGCTCAGCTCTCCCTCAGCCAGTGTTTATTCAACAATAAATCATGGATTTTAATTACCGAGTGGCAGAGCACTGGTACTCCTGCTCTGCTGGATCCCTTTTCCCCTGAATTAAAAGGATTACAGCTTTATCTCAGCAATCAATAAATGGATCATAAATGCAGCACGGTGAGTTATGCTCTTAGAGCAAAATAGCATCTGTTTACCAATAAACGCCCGAGGTTTATCTATCACTGGACTGGTTGTGCATGCTGCATAGGCATGATTCACCCAGCTAACGGCGTGTGTTTGGAGGGGGTGTAACTGCATCTGATGTGCTGGTGACGTCTGCTGCACCAGCGTCATGTGCATGCACAGCCCGAGTCTCTCCCCACACACACAGAAGCAGAGAGACACGCACATGGAGGCCAGAGGCGGCAATCGAGCAAAAAAAGGGTCTGTCTGTACCTATAAATGGTTTGTCATCCTAGGCAAAGTTTTGCTCATCTGCAGAGCAGGTACCTCATCGTACGTCATTGCTCCCTTCCAAGGGGGAAAACAACACGCCTGAAAGAAAGGGCAGATGAGCTTACACTGTGTGTGTGCTGAGTATGCGCATAATACATATGTCCTGCTACCCATCCGCATATACCAGAGCTGATGTCGGTGGGATGGCACTGGGCTGTAGGACAAGTGACTTCTAATGGTCTCTGCATCTGAAAAAGAGTGAGCAGCTCAGGGCCTTCCACCGAGTTAGCTCACCTCCCAGCGGTCTCTGTCATCCTTCCCACCCTTGCAAGAGGACTGAAGGATTAGATAATGTTAGAAGTTGTATGTACAATGACAGTACTTGAGTATTAAGCTCTGTTATTATTCAAGCTGCCAGGCTTTGGCTAGACCCTTTGAAAGCATTAGGACCAGCAGTGACTGCAACACTGTGGTGTTCTTATCCACTAAGGCTGGAAGAAGGTGCAACATCTCATGTAGACTGGCTTAGTTGACATACTGTAATATAATTAACAAGCTTTGCTAGAGAGTGGGATCTATGCAGAATGAAGGGGGTCTGAGTCTCTTTCTTTTGTAACACTATGTCTGTTAGGAAAGTGCCTTTGTGCCCCATGTAAGTGAAGCAAGACCAGCAGGTAGGACACGTACTGGGTGAGTTAACACATGGATAGTTTCATTGTTTTTAATAACGATGGCTTCACCTTTCTTGGTTAGGATCAAGATTATCAGAACCATTTCTAGGAAGAGCAGCTCTCTTGCCTACCTGTTGCAAGCATATTAATACAAAGAGCAAAGAACAAAAGATCCACAAGAAATAAGAAGCAAAATCATACCTAAATGAGAAGGGTTACCTTGACCATAAAGTGGTTTACTGCTATCCCTGATGAATCAAATGCTAGGTCTTTACCCTCCACCCATCTTTTCCAGACTGTTCTAGTTTCTGATGACAGGTAATTATTGGAGTAAATCTGCGTATATCCAAAAACAAAATATCTGAAGGTCATCCTACCCTTAGGGCTGACCTCTCCATTACTCACTGATGAGATGCAGCTACCTGGTTTCTTAGGGTCTGCATCTGATTTTACGGAGTTTAAACTCTAGCTTCAGTACAGATTGAGTTTCTTTAGTTTTAAGCGTAACTAGAAGCCCTGCTGACTTCATCACAGAATAGCTTCAAGCGGACTCTCACATTCATCATAATGGGGTGCTGAGCCTGCTTACTGGCTGTAGAAGTAATCACATTAGATAGTTTAAGTATTCAAATCTGGCTAATTTGGGTCAGGGAATGGCATTGGGCACTACAGTACAGGAGAGTTCTTTACTCTGGTTCCCATAGACCAGTGAGATTGCACAGCTGTAATCCTGTAGTGATGCCAGCTTTTCATAACCAAACACCATGATGTCATAATAGAAAAATGTGTTTTTTCCTCGCTACTTTGAAACACGGTTGAGAATTCTGACATCTTCTGATCAAAGCATCAACCATAAAAAGCAGGACTTAGGGAAAGCCTGCAGATCCAGCCAAGGAGACAGAGCTTTGAAGCAGGCCTGAAGTGGATCAGCCCATGACAAGGGACATTAGACATATATTTAAATGAGCTGTCTGATCTGTAATGAAGGAAATTCCACTCCGATCAATGACAGAGCCAATGTTTCTCTGAGACCACTTTAAGCCTTGGATAAAAGAGCCGAAATCAAATGTTTTCTCCTTGGCTGTAGAACATTCTCCATAGAATCAAATCCATTCTCTGAAGTATTAAACACTGAGCCAGGATTGTAAATCTATTCTTAATTACCTTATCACAAATATTTAATGTGCAGCCTGATTCAAGAGGGCTGTTTATAAAATTCTTGTTTGTTTGCCTTCTAATTATAAATGTTTATGATCTTATGCAATTAACTGTGTGATGCTGATGGATGGGTTGCTAAGTCAACTGAGCACCTGTTTTCTTAGATAATTTTGGTTTCCAAATATTTATAAAAGTACAAAATAACTTGTTTTCGTCTGTATTTACTGGGCTCTAAATTACTTATCGATTTCCCGGTGTCAAGCTCAGGAAGCTGTAAAATTAAAAAGGAACCAAGTGGAGGGGTGGGCAGGGAGGCGGAAGCAACAGTGATTCATTTGCAAGAGGAAATGCCAAGAGTAAGCAAGAGTCCATCAGTTTATATGAAGCTGCAGGACACTTAATGCTTGCATCGAAACAAACTTTGTCTGCCTGAGATAAATTAGGATTGGAATTCCTATGTTCAGCTCTGTGCATCCCCTTCCAGAAACACCCCTCCCTTGAGGATCATTCTTGTTTACAGAGGTGAAACTTTCCAATTAAAGGCCAGACTTAAGTGGGAAATCCTTCAGGAAGAACTGTATTCAACTAGAAGTGTTCAGCTAGAAGCAATTATTCCATAAGCCAAATCCTGTGTATGTGGGGGAAGATAGCAGGTTGGTGTGAACTCCTCTCTTTGTGCACTTCTCTCTTTTCAATGCAGAAATGTCTATATGAGAATTTCAGATGGATTCTGGTAGTGGCCTGGTCCTTTTCCACTCCTCCTAAGCTTATCTCACCCTCTTCTACTTCACAAAACCTGTTCTCAATCGATCCTCTGTGAAAACCATCCTTTTCAGAAGGAAAATCTCTGTGAGTTTCATGCAAAATGTGTTGGTCCAGATTGTTGCCTTGTCCATGAAATCCCTTGCTTGTGGTGTTGGTGAAATGAAATTCCAATGGAACGTGGGCACTTAAGATGTGCTGTTCTCATTCCCATCTTCTCACGTAGAGACCTGGTTCGACCAGCATCAGAAGAAATTCCTTGAGCTGAAGATTGTTGAATGCTGGAAGAAGTATACAAGGGAACTGTAATATACACTTGTCTTGTTCTTATTTCACTCTTATGTTTGTTTGTGGCCATTGATGGAAACAGGGCAGCTGGCTAGATGGAGCCTTGGCCATTCTTATATTCTTAGACATTTCTACTTGCGCTGGCTTGTGCCATGAAAAGATTTCCCAGATGGCTCTGGAGCTGGAGAAAGCCCAGATTATGTGATGGGGTCATTAACCTGACAGCAAAGTCTACAAAAAAGATTTCTAATGCCTCTGCTTGCATTGCCACATTGATGTGGCTGTGCTGTTCCCAGGACGAGACACAGTATCTCTGAGCTAAGATGGTAGGGCTAACCCAGTGCAGTGCTCTGAATTAACACATGCTGAATCTGGAACAGTATGTACAGGAAACCATACTGATCTCTTTTCGCTGTGTTCACTCTCTCCATATATTAGCCTTTTTTGCTCTTTCTCTTGTGGCTTTATTATTATTGAGTCCATGCAGAGGTTCAGATCATGGTCAGCCCTGTGGAGCTCTGTAGAGTCCAGGCAGGAGGGACTAGTGATCATCCTGGGTGCAGGGATTACTTCCCAGAGCTGAGAAGCTGCTTTGTGCTTCACAGCACAGGCAAACACAACAATACCTTGGCAATAGGTTATACCAAAACTGTACACATTGCTTACACTGGTATCTTATGCTTCCTTTCATTTATTATACATGGGAGAGTACCCAGCACCTAACCACTGCTCTTAGCAAAACTATCACAGTAAGTGACCCAGCCCCAAAGAGCACAGAGCCTGGTTCTAGACTGGATTTAAAGCAACAGGCAAGCAACATCAATACCGGTTGGCTAGGCAAGAGTTATGTCAGTGCAGTCGCATACCCAGTCAGTGCATGCCCACAGCATCTGGGAAAGCAAGCTGACAACTGCTGACTCTGGGGAAAGACTTACCTCTTCCATTTACCCCCAACCCTCACTCTCATTTTCATCCCAGAGCAAGAATAGCTGGACTGTTTCTTTTCCAGATGATCAAGATGCAGTCTGCAACAGAGCTAGCACTGGTGAAAGCAGTTTAATTTCCATGTTCTACTGATTGCCACAGCTAAGCCTGAGCTTCTGGACTCCTAAAATGCCAGAGTAAGAAAGGGGAGCATGACCAAGGGTGAGTATCATGGCCCAGAGGTAAGGTTCATGTCACTGCAGGATTTCTCCGAGCCTTGCAATACCTGCCCACGCCACATCATGATCCATGTGGGCGGTCTCTGTGCAAGGAAATGTTCTTGATGCTAAGGGTGGACACATATGGGCTGTGTGCAGGTGGCTCTTTGTCTCTTGGGATTAGTCGGGACAGAGGTGCGTTGCCATCAGTGGGCCTGTGGTTAAGAGAGAGATCCTCAGCCTAATGGCTAGAAGGGCTGTTGGAAGAACATGGACAAAACCCAGATGTAACAAGGACAACTGCGTTTGTGCCTCCGTATGGGGAGGATTGGCTGGCGCACCACCATCCTGTGTGATTAACCAGAGCGGTTGTGAGCCTCCAATTTAAGGCAACTTTGGAGCAGCAGTTTCCCAGAAATGACAAGCAGTCACCTTCT